AGTCATCTACATGGAAGAAAAATAGAATATAAAGTTACCAAAGTGTTAGATGAAGCAACAGTGATCTGCCTGACACTTCAAGTACCCATTTTCTGACATAAAGCTGTCAAACCTCATGTATAGTCTTGGGGTCTATTTCAAGTCATAAAGACTCTTATACAATTTGCAGCCAAACCTTCATTGTCTGAAACCTTGTAACATTGTAGATGCACCATATATAGCTCCTCCAGATCTTCATGTAAAAAAATAGTCTTTACATCTATCTGCTCTAAATGTAGATCTTTCACTGCTACCAGACTCGGCACAACCCTGACAGTAGTCATTTTCACCACTAGGGAGAAGATATCTGTATAATCCACTCCTTCCTTCTGTTGGAGACCTTTCACAAAAAGTCTTGTCTTGTAGTGTTTGCCATCTGACTCCTCTTTCAGCTTGTAGGCTCACTTGTTGTACAATTCTCTTTCACCATTTGATAATACCGTCAAATCTCATGTCTAATTTGACTCCAAAGATTGTATTTCTTCATCCATGACAAGTTTACACTCCTTTGAATCTTCAACTAGAGTGACCTCCTAAAAGCACTTTGGTTCACCACTATCAGTTAGTAACAAATAGAGTAAGAATGAGAATACCTTTGTATGGGTTGTTTCACTCTGCGGGATCTCCTAAATTCTGTAGTAGGTGTCTAAAAAACTTCTAGTGCTCCTTCCAGTTGAGCACTTTTTTTTTCTTCGTCCTCCTGATCACTAGTATCATTTATCTCCACATATCTGGATTTTTCAGAAGTAGCTAACGGACTGTCCCGAGTTCTAACCTTATCCTTGTACATCTCAATCTCGTTGAAAGTGACATCTCTGTCATGATGAACTTCTAATTCAGATAATCCCAGAACTTGTACCCAAACTCATCTGAGTCATATCCAATAAAGGTGCACGTGACAGATTTTGAATCAAGCTTGCTTCTAGAACCTGCATCAACATGCATATATGTAGAATACCCAAATACTCTTAAATGAGATAGACATATATTTTTGTCACTCTAAGCTTCTTCAGGTAAGTCTTCATCCAAAGGTACTGATGAACTACATAAATTCAGATCAATTGATTTAAAATCCTGAAGCTTATTCTTTGAAAGAACTTCATACATTTCTCGCTCATATGGCCAAGCCTACCGTGTCATAGACTTGCATCCAACCTGGTTCCAACCACATCAATGAAATCCACGAATCACCTCTGAAAGTTATCACGAGTCCTAACTTTGTCAGTTAGCTCACAAAGATACGATTTCTCTTCAAACTTGGAACATGTCTGACATCAATAAACTTCCAGACTGTTCCATTTGGCAACTTGATATCAACATCACCATTTCATATTCTACTGTAGGTCTTGTTATCTCATAACTAAACATTCCTTAGATCACTCTGAGTATAATTTTT